TGTTCTTAGTGTGTTTTGAGTTATTTCAGGTGTAGAACGAGTTGGAATGCACCAGAAGGAGCATATGGAAGAAAGAATGCAAAAACCAGAGTTTTCCATCGCAGAGCATCCGAACGGAGCAACCCTCTGCATGCTCCCTCTATCGCGGAGCAAACCCCCCTTTGCTCCCGAAAATTATGGAAACTTCTAATTAATTTCGGGATTTGCCCTAATCTTTCTATTTTCTTCTCCCAGCCGCCGGTGGCCTTGGGACATATTCTATTCTATTTTTCCTAGACAGAGAACGCTTTTGGAGAGAGGAGAAACCTTAGAACTTTTGGATATTGTGATTTTGATACTTGTAAAGGGAGAAGATCATCTCTCTTGTTCTAGAGAAGAATCCTCTGAACCCTATTTATATTTATTTGCAATAATATTCATGTCTTCTTCATCTCTTGACTTTGTGTTCTCTGTTGTTATGGCTGAGTAGTCGATTTGTTAACCTAGGGTTCTAGGGTGTTGATCCATTGAACTAAACATAGATAAGCATCATTCTCGCCTTTGCTCTCCACTGCTCTTACTGCTGATACTGAATTGATCACTTAGTATTTGATTCCAAGTTTAATCTTTTATCATTAATCCTGAATTAGGTTGCTTGATCTGTTGAGAGCAAGCATCACATCCCTGGTCAGCGAAAGTAGATATCAGGGTGTGATGTGAGCATATTAGGTCTGTGCTTAATGTTTGCTGTTGAGTATTAATCCACGCGAGAGCATAGGTACCATTGCTCCTCTGCGAAAGGAGCACACCTGCGAGAGCAGGGTGTTCTAGTTAAGAAATCTGAGTTCTAGGCTGCACTTAAAAAGATTGAATAATTGTTTGGTTCAGCATGGTTAACACCCAATGAGATACCCTAGGTTGACATCCTTATATCCTGAAATTAAAACCCATTTTAATTATTTGTTTCTCACGATTTGCTTCTTTACAAACTTATCGTTTTAGCTTGAATTTGATCCTATAAAAATAAAGTGTAATATTTGGTCTCTGTGGATTCGATCCTAAAGTGCTACATCGACATACCATTCGATTGTGGTAGTGTGCACATTAGGTTAATTGGTGTGCGTTCGCACGCGATATCAATAAGAGATCCAAACTGTACCCCATCCACCTTTGTAGATAAAATTCGTCTAGCCCAGGAATCCCTACAAACACAGAAACAACAAATCTCTATGAAGTAAGAAGAAAAGATTAAGTTATTGCTCATCAGATGTCTTTGATAGTGAAGAGTCTAAAATAAAAAATGAATATGAATCTCGCAAGAGGAGCATGAGGAGGAAAAGATTGTATGGCGTGGTCTGCTAGGTGAGAAAGGTTAGAGATCACAGGCTCTCAAAATATTTGCGTTTCGACTTCTGAAAAACAACATTAAACATCAAAGACGTCAATATGCATCTCGCAACAAATATATATAAAGTCACAAACTTCTGCCTCCATTAGAATCAGGAGAGAGTTAATTAGTTTCGTGAAATCTATTAATTAGTTTCATCAATCGTATTCGAAACAAAAACTAAGAAAATAGATTTATAGGTAGAGAAATGGTGAGGAAGATGAAAAGAATCCATTGAATGAGATGGAGAAAGGATTGATTAAGGTAGATAGTGGTGAAGTTATAGCTGAAACGGAAATGCAGAGAAGATAATTGAAGAAGTAAAAGATGGAACGCAAGAGGGAATCAAAAAGGAAGAGATCGAGGAAATTAGGGTTTACGTCTCCAATAAGGCCTCCTCTGTACAAAACAGGCCGACACCAAAAAAAAAAAAAGGCCCAAAACTAACAACAACAAATCCCAAACGGAACATAATGCAAAAGACGTGGGCGATTCAACCAATATTACTGACTGATTTTCCAATCTGACGTGGCATAGCTCATAGGCTCATATATTTTCCGTTTAATAGTGTTAGATAACGTTAGTTTAGTAGATTATTCACAAGTTTGCCATTTTGACTTATGTGGCATTACTATAGTTCTCCTCGGTCCATCTTTAAAACCACCATTTAATTACTAGAGATATTACAAAAAAATGCTTTTGGTATCATTAATTATTAATACATAGAATTATAGTTTTCTTATACAATTTTATTTTATAGTTTGAAATATTACTCACAAATGGAAAGAACTAAAACATGGATCCCTCAATCTTTTTTTTTTTTGCTTTAAATAAATTTATGTAACAAATTATTTATCTCTTCCAAATAATCTAAATGTGGTCATCCAGGAAAACTAGGAGAGAATTGCTCTCAAGAATCTAAAAAATCAATAACAACCAATCAATCATAATGATCAACATTATTCACAAGTTGGTAAGATATACCTATACGGCTATACACGATAGTTAATATAACTGTTAGTTTTTTTAAATATGTTTGCCATAGTAAAAATGTCTGTTACATGTATAGAAAGCAAACCTTTTAAATATGACATCTTTGCTTGTATTAGATCCCCAAGAAATTGAATGTACTGTTCTATCCATACACACTTATCAAGTATTTGACCTATGAGAAAATTGATCATGACTAACCCAAAGAAATTCAATTAGAACACAAAAAAAACAATGATCAACATTTTTTTAGATGTAACAAATTATTTTAATATAATTTTATGTAATATTTATAATGTAAGAATAGTCTCATCCCGTGCAAAGCACGTGTATTAACCTAGTAATGTATTAATAAGTGACAGTAACATAATTATGCCTATTTGCATGAGAAACATCTACTTCTAAACAAGGAAATGAAAAAGACACTTCTATCTTCTTTTTTTTTTTTTTTTTTTTGACACTTCTATCTTATTAAAACAGAAACATCACAACTTCTTTTAGGTAAGATTTTTAAATTGGATCTTTCATTATTATTTATACTAGGAATGCATGGGATGAGAATTATATATATATATATATATATATAAATTATTTATGTCTTATTCTTTATTTTGTATTCTTTTATATATTATAAAATAAAAATATATATTGAATAAATGAAAAAGCTGTAAATATTATATATACAATTAATTTAGTGAGCACTTAAATAAAAAAATTATATTCGTTTATTTACAATCACTTTATATAAGTATATCTAATTAATAAAAGATATTAACATCTATATATATATATATATATATATATATATATATTATACTTTAATTTGGATATCTAATAAATGAAGCTTAACACTTACAGTTTTATGATCATTTGTATATTTTTATAAGAAAATTTTTTATATATTATTTTAAAATATTGATAACATCATTTTTAATGTGAGATTTAATATTTACAGTAATTTATCATCGTTTTAAAAAATAAATTCAAAGTTTGTCATTAAAGTATTAAGTTTTCAATACTTGTTCAATGCAATTTCGAATTAAATATTTATGTATTTTTAAATGATATTTAGTTTAATTTAAATATCACTAATATATATATACTTTAAATATCTATTAAATGATATTTCTTACTCATTAATTATATAATTTTTTGTATCTTACTATAAGAAAAATTTAAACTATTAATCAAAAATATTATATGTAAAATTTTAATTTTTTTCTTAAATTATAGTCGTTTAAAAAAATTCAAACATAACATATATAAAAAATTCTTATTTTTTATAATATAGTTAATGTTATTGTTTAATTTATCTTCACAATATAAATTTAACAAAAATAGTAGAGGCTATACAACTTTATCAAATCTTTCATATTCAAATCATTAATTATCATATATATATATATATATATATATTATAACCATATTAAGAAATTTTGTAAATTTTATTTAAGGAAATAATGATTAGCAATTATAATAATTTTATGCTTAGTTTAATAAAAAGTATATTATATGTTTATATGGACCAAGATTTTTTCTAGTAAATCTGAGAAGCATTCTCATGATGACACACGGCTACCAAAACATGTTGTAATGCTTCTCAATTAATATAAGAGATTATTAAAACTAAAATACACATTATAATTGTTTGGAAACATAGATAGCTGTACTAAAAGTAAGTATGTTTGGAAACATGGATATCTATATTTAAGAAGATCTGCTATTTATTGTTACAAAGATATGCTATTTATTTAAAATTGTAAAAAACAAAAAAAATTAATTTTTATCACTAACAAATATAATACTTGTAGTATGATTTATATGAAAATAAAATATCAAATTTATATAGTTGTGAATGTTAATACAAAATCATGTCATAATAAATATCTATAGTAAGATATGTCAATCAAAAAATTGTTGTTGTCTACGCTTTAGATTTTTTCTTATATATATATATATATATGTTATATTTAAATATTTGTAGTAGAACATCTCATTCAAAAAATTGTTGCAACCAACTGACAAAATTTCTTCTCCCTTAATTTCATGCATTTAGTATATCTATACTATTAAAATAGAAGTCACTTTTTTAAGGTGTCATTTTGTTTCAACAGTAATTACAGCTGAATGCCACTGCATTATTTTTTAATCTATGCTTTGTATCAATGTGGTTTTACCTGAGTTAAGTGGTTTTGATCCGAGTTTAATAAATTGACAAAATCTTATTAGTTTAACCGTCCAGATTTTTTTTTATTTTGTGTATTTCATTCATATTTTTAACATTTACGGTTATTTAGTTGTAAACGAGTATACCCTAAATCCCTAAGAATACTGAACGATATTCATTCGTTAAATTTTATATTACTTTCACTTGTGGGATTTCAAAGATTTTAAATGGTTAAAAGATGAAGTTTGTTTCAATTGGTTTCGACATATTCATGCCTGCGATTGACTTTGGCTCTAGCAACAATATGCTTGATGGTTTTTCTATTGTGTCCTCCTCTGATCTTCCCGAAAACAACATATGTGAGTTTTATTTCTTTGACGAGACTCTTTTTGTGTTTATCCGCTAAGTAGTATGGGTGGTTGAATTTTTTTTTTTGTTTGGGTTTCAGTTTGATAGGTTTTAGAAAGAAGTTGTACAATGGTGAAGCCTGCAAAGGGAGGAACAACCACAATGGTCGCTGCTGATTCTCGTGCTACGAGAGAAGACGAATCAATCGAGAGATGGATAAGATCGATGATACCAAGAAAGCCAGCGACTGGGTATATACTTCTTAGCTCGAATAAATTTTTGCTTGACAACCCTAAATTTGATTGTGCTAAGAATCCTAATTTGTTTTATTTTATGGTTTTGTTCTTGATGCCAGTTGCTGCGTTTCTTCTTGAGTAATGGGTTCGTTTCGTACTTTGTAACTCATTGTGTGGGCTGGGTTCATCTCTCTTTGATCTGAAAAGTTCTTTTTAGAGGTATGAGAGGTTGTAAACTTTAACATAAACCAGTTTCTAAGTTAATTGGAGATACCTTTGTATTGTCTCCATGATTGTACGATTTTTTAGGCTTTTTCTTATTAAAGGTTTGACCTTTTTAGGTTAAAGGTTTGACCTTTCTTAGTTATTTATCCGTTTTTGTTTGCTGTTATCTTTGCTATGCTCTGTTTCATATTGGAATATGATATGGAGCTTCTGGTTTCTTCCTCTGTCTGCAAGATAGAGCTTTACTAATCTGAGAATGTGATGTCACATTCCACAGTGTGAACCTGCATGTTTTAGGTCAAAGATTTCTTCTGAATGGGTACATAGTGGGTTTTGAATCAACGAACACATCACCTTCTGGGAAGTTCTCACCACCATCCAATGATGATAAACTATGGAGACCAAACAGTTCACATTACCTACATATGAGCCTCAGAAGATGGACTTCAATCATCATCATCATCATCAGGTGGTTTTACTGGAAATTAAAATCAGTGATCACATCTTAGTGGTTATTCTGGACATATCATCTTCAATTCCTTTTACTGGTTCGTCTATTAAGCAGAGGGTTGAGAAAGGCGGCAGAAACGGTTCTTTTGTAATGTAGCTTTTGGCCTAGAAAAACTGGATTTCAGTTTTGTTGTAATGTGTACCATGATTCTGTGAGAATGATTTTTTCATCTGGAGTAGTAATGTACATAATCATTTATTAACCAAATATGTTAAACATTTTAGATTTAACTTTCAAACTTACTTACCACCAGTTCTTGAGAGATATTTCTAGATATCACAAAAATCTATCCACTTCGAAAATATATCTCCATATTTTCATTTTGCACTAAATGTCTTTACAAATCTAAAACTGAATGTATATACACACACACACACACGCACACATATATATATATATATATATATATATATATATATATATAATTATATATATATATAGAGAGAGAGAGAGAGACTTTCAATATATTCTACATAAATGAAAAAACTTAGATTATAAGTTCGAAATGGAAACAATATAAATTTTTAAGAATTTTTATGCAGATCTGCACGAACTTGAAAAGAAAACAAACAACAGCTTTGACCTTATAATATTTTAGAAAACTTCTTAATTTAAGGTTTTAAAATAACAATATTTGTTAGTTACAATAGTTTTTTCACCTAATATCTTAAATAAAATATGTTTTGTTATTAGATTACAAGATTTACCTTATGCTAACCATATTTTGCATAATTATCATAACAAAATTCTAATAAAACGAGAAAACCATTAAATTTCAGTTACCAAATCAGATTTTTATCTTCTATTCATTTTTAAAAGATATATTTTTCATGGAAGAAAGGGGAATTTCTAAAATTTTCTTTCAAATAAAGAAACTTTATTTATTTAAAAATATATTGAAGACCTTACACAATTTTCATTAAATTTAGTTACAGATTTGCATGTATCACAAGTTAAATATAACATGAAAAAAATCGTGCTAACAATCAATATAATTAAATTCACTGTTTATAAATAAATTAAATCTGCAAAATGTAGCAAATTTAAGTGCCCTTGAATCATAGGTCCATTACTTCAAATTATTTATGTAAGCAGTCCAAATAAATTTTAGTTCTTCACATTATTTATCTATCCAAATTAAACCAATTATGTTTTGTATTTAGTTTGAACTAGGTGTTATGATAGACATGTGTTGTCACAACATTTTTAACCGGTTTGGATGGTTTAATTCAAATCTTATTATTAGCCCAACTTGGATTTTATTGAATAAAATATGTGATTGGTCCGATCTGGCTAATCTGATTCGTTCATTTTTCAAAATACTGTATAAATTAACGTTGCTAATAATTTTTGAATCCACTTTTACTAAGGAACAAAACCCGCTTTCAAAGTGCCCTCCTGTTTCAACAATATTTACAATTCCTTGCCACTGAGATATTTTAGGCTTTGATTTTATTTAAATACTTTTGTTGTAATTCATATTAAATCATCTCTTAATTAAGTGAGCAACTTTTCACTTTTTTGATATTTTACCATGTGTAGTTATAATTTAAATCTATCTTTCTTTCCATGGTTATATTAATAAAATATATATCAAAGATTTTATGTGTCCTTCTCTTTTGAAAATATTTACATCTATCTCATTTGATAGTAATATTTTGTGTGTTTTTTGATTAGAAATATGAAATATTTATATACAAATATCATAAAAGTTTATTTCTTATTTAATAAATTAAAATGAGTTAGTATTCATTTGTAGTTAAATTTAATATTATTTACGATTTTCATTATTAAAACATTATAAAACCAATAAATATTTATATTTAAAATAAAAAGATATTAAAAGATATTGTTAAAATGTGATATTGAAAAATAGTTAAGTATACATTTTTGATATCTTATTTTGAAAATATTTAAATATTCTGTTAAGATTATGTGCATATTTAATAATAAATAAGTTTGTTTTATTCAAAATAATAAAAATTAAATAAATCTTTTTGAGTTTGTTTGGGAGAATCGGAGAAACGTTTATCCTTCTAATAAATATTTTTTCATACTTTCAAAGTTTTAGGTATGTTCTAAATAATATTCCATTTTCTCATACGCTCTAAATATTTGAGGTTTTCTGAAGTTTATTTTACACCTTAGCATTTTAAAAACTGAATATTATAAAAGTAAATATTCAGTAGATATTCATTAATTTTTATTTATAAATTAAAATGTTAAATTAAGGTTCATAAAAATTACAGCAATAATACTTATATCATTTGTTGTATAAATGATCGGGTTACAACTCATATTTTACGACTGTTTTTTTCATTAAATAAACAACATATTTCATTAATAGATAGAATGAAGAATAGTTTAAACTATTCAGTTATAAAGTTAAAAGTGAACTTTAAGCAATGCAAAACGGGGTCCATTGTTTAATTTGCTAAGAATTTACAACAGTGTCATTAATTTTTTGATAACTACTAATTAATTTTATATAACAAATTATGAAACTATAATTTATACATGTAAAGTCTGATATTTGGGGAAAGTATATTGTCGAATCAATTTTTAAAAAATAAAGAAATATTTAATGAAGGAAAAAATCCTTTAAAAGACAATAGCAAAAAAGTGATATTTAAATATTTCGAGGTTAAAAATAAGAACAAATATTTTAGTAAGATGAGTATTGAAACACAGATAATAAAACCAATGAGAAAATTAGTCTTGAAAATATTATTTAAATAAAAAATCAAACTCGAATCGAAACAAAAAAAAAAACTAAAACCATACCAAAATTTTGAAAAATCCAAATAGTTACCATTTCTCAAACCAGAAAACCAAAACAAAAATTAGAACTGCACCGATAACCAAACAAATATGAAAATATTTGAAATATAACAATATATTAATTATTATAATATATAATATAATTTATATATTATAATATGCAAAACCCTTAATTACCTAAACTAACTTTTTGGATTTTGGGGTTAATTCAATTTTTCAATTTTTTTTTATATTTATGGCTTTAACATGACTCAAACTATTTATAATTCGGTTTCATTTCGGGTTTTACAAAAAAAATATAAATGCAAACCGAATCCGACATTACTCGAACTGAACTGATCCGGAAAATGTTTGGTTCTTACACGGGTCCTAAACATCCAAACCCAAATAACTCAAAAATATATAAATACAAACCCAATCCAACATTACTCACACTTAACTGATCCGAAAAATGTAACGATACCTAAAAATCCAACCCGAATTACTATAAGACAACAATATAAATTACTTTTAATTATAGACGTCAAAATTGAAATATTAAAATTCAAAAAAAAACAAAATTGTAGTAATTCCTAAATTAGAAAAATTAACCAAAAACTTATCCCGCGCTTCCAAAGTGCGGGTCAAAATCTAGTTATGTATTAAAAAAATAGTCATGACTTCACTCTATGTGATTTGTTTTTTTTTTTAAATGAAATTATTTCTAAAAACTTACTTAAATAAACTTTTGTATACATATTTGAAATATTTTAATTATTCAAAAAAAATCAAATAGATATTCCTATATTTTCTATGAGTTACATTTAAACATAATTTTTCATATCTTTTTATTTACACTATAAATATATATATGTCAGTTTTATAAATTTTAAATGTATATTTGTTTTTCACTTAACCAAAATTTTAAAATATTTATTAATTTCCTAATTATTTGATATATAAATTTATAATTCTTTTTTACCAAAATAAACCTTCTATGTATCTAATTAATTATGTAATTATATTAAAATCATGTATAATTTTGCATTGAATTGGTGATATTAATTTAACTAATGTTTTTCAATTAAATCTTTGACCTCTAAAATCTAAGATTTTTTTTGGGCAAGATTTGTTAAAATCTAAGATTTGTTAATTCAGAATTTTATACCGTACTGTTGAAATTTAAAAATATCCTAATAATATGAATGATCGGTCTACAAATGCAATTTTGAAAATGCATTTATTTTATGTTATTAAATATAGTAGTGGGTTTAATTGAACTAATAAACATTTTAAGTATCTAATTAATTATGTAATTATATTAAACTCATGTATGATATTGTATTGAATTTATGATATTAATTTAAATAATATTTTTCAATTAAATCTTTGATCTCTAAAATCTTAGATTGTTAATTCAGAATTTTATACCACACTGATGAAATTTGAAAATATGCTAACAATATGAATGATCGGTTAACAAATGCAGTTTTGAAAATGCATTTAGTTTATGTTATGAAATATAGTAGCAGGTTTAATTTAACTAATAAAAATTTTAAGTATCTAATTAATTATGTAATTATATTAAATTCATGTATGATTTTGTATTGAATTTGTGATATTAGTTTAACTCATATTTTTCAATTAAATCTTTGATCTCTAAAATCTAAGATTTGTAATTCCGAATTTTATACCACATTGTTGAAATTTGAAATATGTTAACAATATGAATGATCGTCTACAAATGCAATTTTGAAATATATTTAGTTTATGTTATTAAACATAGTAGCGGGTTTTAATTTTATATTACAATAATAGAAGTATATGACTGTTTTTTATAAAAAGATAATCAAAATAATTTTTATATAGACTGTATTCATATATTATTCACTAATGCAATTATTTTGTTTCTTATATCGTGTGCAATTTTTAGGTATTGTACCAATTAATATCATTTACAAACATGACAGATGAATGATTGTAAAAATATCATTCGTGTGAATATTTTTATTTACAGTGTGACTATTATCAAATGTAGTTATAGGTTTAAATGTTAATTATATAAATTGATGTATGATAGATGAAGAATTGAAAATAAAAGTTTGAACATTGAATAATTCATTGTAAATAATCCAAAATTTTTGGGGTAGTCAAGTTTAGATCAATAATAGACAATATAAGAAACCTCAAAAAAATATTGATAATAAATAGAAATTTATGTTTAAAAGGACAAAAAAAAACACAATGCATTACAATTTCTGGTTTAATAATTTAACTGAAACACATGTTTTATAAATTACACCTAATATATGTTATTCAGTCAAATATTTAATTCATACAAATAATTCAATTAACATATATGTATGATCAAAAGCTAAAATACAAGTACAATCTTAAGGAAATTAATATCTAAGTTAATATTAAATTGAACAAAAATATTATAAATATAATATAACGTAAGATTTTAGTTAGTGTTCATGTTTTAATAAGAAATATATCACTAATAATTTGAAACAATAAGTTAAATTACTGCATGCAAACTATGAAATTGTTGTGTGAAAATATTATATTAAACTATTAACACGATGATAAATATTAAAATTATATACCACTAATCATATAAAGCTAATATTTATATAAACTAAAAATAATCATCCGTACAACCGTCCGGGTCAGAATCTATATAAAATTACATATCAGTTGATGTAAAACAAATCTAGAAAAGCAGGGATCAGAGAAAAGATGACTGGATAAAAAGAGAAGATCAACTTCATTGTCTTAAAATCTGATCCAGAAACAGAATTAGATAATTCCCTAAAAGTTTTTGATTTGCAAACTACGAAAATAAAAATGATGAAAAATAGACCTAAAATAGGGAAAAAAAATCACAACTCTAGTGGACCAAAAAAATGCTCTCCTCTCCTCTCTCAGATTATTTTTATTTATTTCTGTTCTAATCTTTTGACAATATAGAAATATATTAAAAATGCTAATTTAACATCAAAAGGTTTTTGTGGGTGGATAGATTGAAATATAATTATTTTTGTATCTTTATTACAAAAAATGCTAGAATATTGCAGGGAAAGAAGCACACAAAGGAAGAAGGGAGTAAAATGTACTTTTGGGCCACAAGTAAACAAAAGCGGGACGTTACGACGTGTTAAAGCTTTTCAGAAAATCTCTAACAGCGCGATCCTTTCTTCTCCTCAAGAAGAAGAAGAAGCGATTCAAATGGAGAGCAACAACGGTACGATTCAATTCGCTCTTCATTTTTCTCGAGTTCCTTCCTTCGTTGCTTGCTCCGTCTGCGATTAGAGAAATTGTGAAATCAAACGGATTTGGGAAGTCAATTTAGATTAGTTGATAGGAAAAAAAAATCTGAATCAATTTTCAAAAGATAATTCTGCAGGGTCTCAAGAGATGACTGTGCCTGTAGAAGGAGTTGCTGGTGGAGGCACAGCTTACGGGTTTAACGACGGTGGTCTTAGTTCAGAACCTCTTCAACAATCTACGGATCCAACAGAGGTTCCTACTTCTGATTTGGTTCACGTCTGGTGTATGCCCAATACTGTTAACGTCGGTTCTCAAGAAACACCTCGACCTCTAGAGACTGTAACCCTTCTTCTATTCAACTATTTCTTATTCTCTTTATGTTCTGTTAGCTTACTTACACTTGAGATCTACAAAAATTAAAAAAAGTGATCACTCCAGTTGCGTTGTTACTATGGAAGTTGATAATATTTCAGTGGAATGATAACTCTGGTTCTTAAGGTTATGAACCTGTTTGATACGGTTGACCTATTTGAATTCATTCTAGTTTACCTTTGTTGTTCATTTTCATGTGAAATGACACATGCGATTTGTTTTTCTACAGATAAACCTTTTGGCAGCTAGAAACGAGAGAGAAAGTTTTCAGATTGCCATGCGTCCCAAAGTTTCTTGGGCTGGTTCCAGCCCTTCGGGGAGTGTTCAGGTTCAGTGCAGTGACTTATGCTCTTCAGCTGGAGATAGGTGAGCCTTTCTTTTTTACCTTCCCTTTTCTCCGTACCGAACGTTTCATTAATTATTTGAGATGGATTCTTCACTTTGTGGCTTTTTTTTCCCTTCTGATCTGCATATGGTTTTTTTCTTCCTTCCAATGACAGATTGGTTGTTGGCCAGTCTCTAAAGTTGCGGCGAGTGGTGCCTGTCCTAGGCGTTCCTGACGCTCTGGTGCCTCTTGATTTACCTGTTACTCAACTTAACTTACTTCCGGGGTACTACCACTCGCTATTCTGGTATCTGGAGCACTGCTGCCTTAATTCGTTAAGACTGACATAATCTCGGATGCTTCCTATTGCAGAGAAACAAGTGTGATTTGGGTCTCAATAGACGTTCCTAATGGGCAGCCTCCTGGTCAATATGATGGAGATATAATTGTTTCTGCAATGAAAACGGATGGAGGGTGAGTCTCTCTCTATCTATCTTTTCTTTTATCTACTTTAGGATGCTCACATATCTGCTTGCTGTCATTGTGTTAAAAACGATAACTTGTTTCTCATGGATTTTACACGCTGATGCCCAAATTTGTGGTTGGTTACAGCTCTTCTGATAACTTGGGAAAGCATGAGAAGGATCAGCTATGTATGGAACTTAAGAACTGTCTCGATATTATGGAACCAATAGAAGGAAAACCCATGGACGAAGTGGTAATTTTCAGTTTGCTTCTGTTTTGTTGAGCTCATCCCTTGATAAATATTTTACTTGTCAATAATCTGAAGCTTGTCTTTTAGGTAGAAAGAATAAAATGTGCAAGTTCATCATTAAGAAGAATTCTCTTCTCTCCATCATTTGCGGAGTTCATTTCTACAAATGGATCCTCTGATATGATGGAAGAAGATGTTGTGTCAAACCTTGCAGTGCGTATAAAGCTAAGATTGACAGTTTGGGAATTTATTATTCCAGTGACTCCATCACTCCCTGCGGTCATTGGCGTCTCTGATACTGTAATTGAGGATCGTTTTGGTGTTGAACATGGAAGTGAAAAGTGGTACGAGAAACTGGATCTTCATTTCAAGTGGCTTCTTCAGTATCGGATCAGTCCATACTTCTGCAAATGGGGTGAAAATATGCGTGTCTTGACATACACCTCACCATGGCCTGGTATTGCAAATCCCCTTTAATGCACCATCTGTCATTTGTGCTGTGCAAGCTAATCATTTTGCTTCAAATTCGAGTTCACCATTTGCATTCCACTTTTTGGTTTGGCAGCCGATCATCCGAAGTCTGATGAATATTTTTCTGATCCAAGGCTTGCGGCTTATGCAGTACCATATAGACAAGTTATAGCAGGGTATGCATGTGTTGTCCCAGTCATACTTCTCATAAGTGTCGTAGATCACCAAACTAATTTTTGTTGATGTGCAAGCAGGGATGATTCTAGGGAATGTTACCTGCGGAAAGAAGTTGAGATATTGAGGAGTAAACCCCACTGGAATAAAGCCTACTTTTACTTGTGGGATGAGGTATTTTAGTTCTTCAATCAAATTTCCCACTGATTATCAATAGGCTGATGGTGGTGTCTCTTAGCATTTCTGTATATCATGTTCCACCATTGGTGTAATTGATGTGTTCTTTTAGTTGAAATTTACTTGTTGACAGCTTTCTTATTACCATTTGAAATTCTGGCAGCCATTGAATATGGACCACTTTCATAATGTTCGCAAGATGGCTAGTGAAATTTACGCCTATGCCCCAGATGCTCGTGTTTTGACTACTTACTACTGTGGTATGATTCCCTTTTTGTGGAATTCAAATGTGTTAATCACTTCTCTCTTTCTCGATTATACTTACCTTTTTCCCACATTATGTAATTGTTCAACCCATAATGTTAGTTCATTGTGTAGAGTTAATATTATTTGCGCACTTGTCATATTGGTCCAGTGGTTTTCTAATATGTTTCATTACATCAGTTACAGATATTTTACAATGCTTCAGCTACTAAGAAGTTTAATTCAGTAATAGTACTCTGTTTGTAGGTCCGGGTGATGCGCCTCTTGCACCAACGCCCTTTGAATCTTTTGTCAAAGTTCCAAATCTACTTCGACCCCATACTCAGATATACTGCACAAGGTATTTGCGCATCCAAATCCTCTTAGGTGGCAGTGGTTTGATCAGTCAGACAAATTGCCTTCTCTTACATGGGTTTGTGGCTTAATTGGTTGTCAAGATCTTAGTCTCACCAATCTATCAAATAATCAAAAAGTCACCTCTTTTTGAGCAAATACATTTTTGATCTTAAAATTGCCAACCGTATAACTCCGATTACCTAGTTGGATAGACATGTATGTGAGTTTATTATATCATTCTATGAGTTTGGATTTTAAGATACTTTTTGGGAATATTTAGAGAAATCTGTTTGCGACAAGTCTATCGTTGCCTTTATCCCTCTTAAAATATGGTTTATATTCAGTGAGTGGGTGCTTGGTAACCGGGAAGATTTGGTGAAGGATATTGTTGGGGGATTGCAGTTAGAGAATCGTGAGGTAAGCTCTCTCTGATCCATCGTCTACACTAGTCTATGTGACTCTCAATGTGGTTTTAATCGTCTAATCAATATGCGTAACTGAATCGAAATCTAATAACCATTATCATATTTTTTAAGTACATATTTCGGTCTGTTTAACCATACGGAAAACAGTTAATTAATAATCATAAGCTCCCAAAAAGTGTACACATGCATAGGCATACTGTATTATCAACAAAGCCATCTTAATGCTACTTTTGTGTGGTTTATATATGAATGTATTAGCAATAAGAACCATAAAGAGGAATTCTCATGCTGGGTGCAGGAATGGTGGACATACATATGCCTTGGACCTACAGATCCACACCCAAATTGGCACTTAGGGATGCGTGGGACACAGCACCGTGCAGTGATGTGGCGTGTGTGGAAAGAAGGTGGAACCGGGTTCTTATACTGGGGTGCAAACTGCTATGAGAAGGCAACCGTTCCAAGCGCCGAGGTTCTTCGTCTGATCTATGGTTCCTTTTGTAATGTTTCTTGATTGATTGCTTCATGATTTTAAATGAAACAACCAAACGTATTTTTAGGTAAGGTTTAGGCGCGGTCTTCCTCCTGGTGATGGTGTTCTTTACTACCCTGGTGAAGTTTTCTCATCATCCTCAGAGCCGGTTGCTTCGCTTAGGCTAGAGCGTCTTCTTAGTGGCTTACAGGTATGGCTGCTTTAAGCTTTTAGTTACCAACCGGAAAGAAAAAATTGTGTTTAAATTGATGTTATGGAACAGGATTACGAGTACTTGAAGCTGTACGAGTCAAAGTACGGAAGAGAGGAAGCAATGAGGCTACTGGAGAAGACAGGGGTGTACATGGGGCCTGAGCGATACACTTTGGAACATAGACCAATCGATGTACTACGGGGAGAAGTGTACAACGCATGTAGACCTTCTTAGAGTAATGTTATGAGAACGTTTCTGTATCTACTACCTATACACACATACTCCCTCGATTACGCCTACTATATAATATAGAACATAAGAATAAGTGCGATTCTCCCCTTACACAAAAATAGGTTTTTCCACCAAAAATAGTCCATAAAGAAGAAAATACCAAAAAATGTTTCACTAAAGAAGTAAAAGATTAATTTATATGTACTTTATAGATATTTCAATATATACTTATTTTAGTGAAATAATAAAAAATAAACTACAAAGTGAACAATATGTTTTTTAAATTCAAACTTTTTATATTATATGAAATTACTTAACAAAGCACTTCTGCTTCTCTCTCTTATTTGTTCTCACTCTAGGATCTTTCACGGAAGAGCGAAGAGATGAAGGTTTTTGTTCTCAAATTCTGATCTTGGAGACAGATACTTTTGCTGTATAATATGTTTCGATCTTACATTGATTTTAAGCTTCCGCTTTTACAGACCTCTTCGCAAGACGATATCTTTTTGTTATGTTTTAAACAAACTTCATTTCTACTTTCCAGTTTCAAATCTGATGAGTTTTCGATTCATGTTAATTAGGAACTAGGTGTTCTACTGTATAATATTTGCTAAGATATCTTATGTTTTAAATATGCATGAATGTGGATAATTATCCTATTAATTTATAATAAATTAACTAATATAATAACATATAAATTTCTATCACTAACATAAAATTCGCTTTTAACTAATTTATATATAAATATATAAATTTCATTAAAGGTATCCTTAACTTGAACCGTTCCAAGTTTTAATATCTAATATTTAATTATATAATTAAAAGCATCTTCATACAAATGTTTTTATTTGATTAATATTTAGTTAAAATCGATTTTTAAATTTTAAGTTTTAAATTTTAATTTTTAAACTTTATAATAGAATGATATTATTTTCAAAATTCAAAATCAATTATATACAAAATTAAGATATATAAGCATTATCATGTTATTACAATATTATATTCAGATGATAATAACATATCTAAGAATTATCTTATTTTTGATTTTTTTATAAATTTATTATATTAATTATTCTAAGTTATCTAAGATAATAACATACTAATCTAATTTTATTTTTTAAATTTCGTTTTTAATTATAAAATTAGTTATATATAAAAGTTTCATTAAGGGTAACATAAATTTTAACCGCTCTAACTTTTAACGTGAGAGTTTCGTTACGAAAATTCACTTCACAAATAATAGTATAGATGTTAAAATGGGTTTAAAACCGGCAGACCTAACGGGCTTATTATAAATGGATAGATTGGTTATCCATTTGAGAAGTCAGTTTCCTACGTTTCACACTCACGTTAACTCTCGCGATGGTTGATTACATAGATATCCTTAATTAATTGTTAGATTTTAAGATTATTATTAATTTTTTTATTTAGTTTATTTTTTTACCTTTTTCTAAATAACATATATAATAAAAATGAAATATTTCTAAAATTTTAAAAACAATTTAAAAACGAAAATATATGTATATAATATCACTCTATTAAAAAGGAAAGTTCACAAAAGAGTAATACCCCCCACTAATATATATTTTTAAATAACATAAAATAGATTTTCCAAATAAGAAAAATATATATGTTCATAAACATTCCAAAATTTATCAGTTACACTTTATTTTGTAATCTTTTTAAAAATAAACATATAATTTGATAAATATTATGAAAATACATGTATATTTAAGCGATAAATAAAACTAATTTCATTTGACTTAACTAAAATAAAGAGTAAACAAATATTATGAAATATATGTATATTTAAGTGATAAATAAAACTAATACAATTTGACTTAACTAAAATAAAAAGTAATTATAATTCAATTTTAATTTAAAAATATATTTAACTCAATATAATCACGAAATGAATGACTCGACTAATCTAATTTATATAAAAAATTAAACATCTAGCTACAATAAGAACATATAATTTTATAATAATAATAAAATAATAATAATAATAATCTATTTAATTTTATACATATAAATTAGAAGTTGTCTCAAAGCATATTAAAAAGAAAAAGAAAAAATTAACCAATTACAATTTAATTCTTTTTGTAGAATTTATATATATATATATATATATATATGCATGAGACTTCAAAATATTATCATTGTATTCATTCATGTAATTTTGAATCAAACACTTTAGCTTATTATTTATTTATTTTAAGCACAATATATATTAATTTATACATAATTTAACTCTAATATATTTACATATCTAAGAATATATTTACATATCTAAGACAATAACCAACCAAAATGAAAATAATAAAATTAATTAAAGTTTTTTATATTTAGAATAAAAAATATTATAGCTCAATTTGAAAATAGATAATATCCAATATACCAAATTGATAATCAAACCGACTATTGATCCAAAAATAATTAAACCGACAATAATATATATCCAAAGTCATATGTATAATTAGAATAATATAATATTTATTAATATAAATTATACATATAAATTTATTCAAATTTAAAACTAAATATCAATCAGTGATTATAAATTTTTACTTTTATAAATATTTATATCCGTGCATGAGTACGGGAAAATCACCTAGTAAAACATATATGAGGATTCTTCCGTTTAAGCCGTTTCGTTAATGAGTCATACCTGTTAAATAAATGAGTATCTATTTAAGCCAGTTTTAAAAAAAATATTTAAAATGAACTTTAAAAAAAAATTTAAACTTTTTCTTACATAATTTGTGTTTTTGAAACAGAATAGTTATATTATATATAGTTTGGGTTTTTCTTAAAAAAGAAAAATTTAGATTATAATTATATTTAAAACTTACTAAAATGTGTTGATGTTTATATGAGATTATAAACTAATTATAATATTTAACAAAAGTAAACTAGATTTTTTATTCACATTTTGCTTTGATTTGAATTTCTATTTATTATAAAGTTATAAAATCAAATAAAAATGATTATGAATAGAATTCACAAGAAAAAACTTTAACGGGCTTCAATGGGTATTATCAATATAAACGGGGTTGATATTAAACCGTTTAAACATTAAATAGGCCTATACGGACTTGCACTAAACATATCTAAAGGGGCAGGTTTTTTTTTTTTTTTTTTTTTTTTTGACATCAAACGGCTGATCTATTACTCAAGGCACTTGAGGTGGTCTGGGAAGCCAGACCGGAATAGAACAACCAACATACACAAGCTTACGATAAAACGACCTAGCTGTCTTCGCTAGAGAATCAGAAACACCGTTCTGTGCTCTAGGTACATAACAAATCTTGAAATTAGGGAAACAAATCTTCAAGGTCTCCAGTTTTTCCAGCTCTGTTGAGAAATTAGGCAATGCATGAGGATTCTTGATCATCTCTATCAACTCCTTGCAATCAGTTCCAAAGCTCTGACATGACGAATGTTGAAGCATATTCTCCATTGCCCATCGCAGTGCTTCCAACTTTGAGTGCAGTGCCGACTCCACTCGATCAAAGTTCCGCAGTCCCATGAGATTACTATTTCCCGAGTTATCAAACAACGCCCATCCACAACCAGTGAAGATATTTGTAGACATCCAAGACCCATCTACCATGCATATATTCCCCAAACTTAAGATTTGGTCCTCATTAGTTCCACTCACTATGGATTCCGGACATTCCTGCTCATTTGCTTTAAACCATGCCTGGCATTCGCTCTCTGCATATCGTGCTACCTCCAATGGGTCCCTATCAATACCTCTAAAGAGCTTGTCATTCCTAGCCTTCCAAATGTACCAGATTATCCAAGGATAAGGATCCCCGTATAATTCTGGTTCTATTAGCGTGTTTTTCCTCCAGAACAGATAATCCATATTCGCGTACGTGCTTTGTACAGGAAACATAGCAGGGTTGGTAGGCGTAGATGATAGCGCCCAGACTTGTAATGCAGGTGGACACTCAAAAATTGCATGTGTGATCGTCTCCTCTGGTTCCCCACATCGAGGGCAATGGTTGTCACATCTTATATGTCTATAATTTAAAATACTCGTAACAGCCATATGCCCTGTTATTACCAACCACATAAGATGGCAAATCTTCTGGGGGGCCCTGACCTTCCAAGCATGTGCTTGAAGTTTAGTAATACTAGGCTCACGAACTTCTGGATCCTCTTCCTTTCGCAAGATATTTCGTGCTACCCAATACCCAGATTTAACAGTGTACTGCCCATTCCTCGTATAGCTCCAGCAGAAAGTATCGCGTCGATGCATGGAGCTAATGGCCAAACTCTTGATTAGTGGTATGTCAGCAGCATCTATATAGTCGTGCAGACGACTGTCATCCCAAGACTTCGTAGTTTGATCAATCAAATCGCTCACTCTCATATTCGGGTGCATAACCGGAGCTAATGGGGGTTGTTGGTCTCGCAGGTATGGTAGGAATGCAAGGATCCTCCCAGGCTTTAACTTCATATCCCGAATGAATCTTTTGTCTAATTCCTCGTAATAATAATTCCCTACCAGCCGAGATACTTGTCCACACATATGATGGGCTACTAGTACTGATTTGACGCAAAGGCGTACTTAATCTGTAATAACGGCCTCTCATTACTCGAGCTACCAGAGAATCCGGGTTCTGAGCCAATCTCCATAATTGTTTTGCTAATAGCGCAAGGTTGAACTCATGGATCATCTTGAAGCCGATTCCACCTTCTTCTCTAGGTAAGCAAAGTTTATCCCAAGTCGACCAGTGCATACCTCTTTTTGGCGGATTGGAGCTCCACCAGAACTGTGCAATGGCACTAGCTAGATTCTCACAAATCTCCAATGGGAGAAGGAAACAAGACATTACATACGTCGGCAGAGCAAGCAAGATTGACTTTATCATAACTTCTTTCCCACCCTTCGAGAGCCAGCGACCAGTCCATCCATTCACCCTTCCTCTCAACTTGTCCTTAAGGAAAGCAAAGAGCTTACATTTGGATCCACTTATGTCCTCCGGTATACCTAAATATGATCTCATTCCACCTTCATTCTGGATCCCGAGAGTGTCTTTGATCTCTTGTCTCACATCCAGTCCAATTCTTTTACCAAAGAATAAAGAGGACTTATCAAAATTAATATATTGTCCAGACGCTTTCCCATACACTTTGACCACTTTCATTACTTCTTCACATTCACGGGGTTCCGCCTTACAGAAAAGCAGACTATCATCAGCAAAGAGAAGATGAGATACCGAAGGGCACACACGCGTGATGCGCATCCCCGTTATATTTCCTTGGATCTCTGCGTGATTTAGAAGGCT